AACGGAATCACCAACTACAATAACATACAATGGTAAAAGGATTAAAATATCTAAAAAAATTATTGATAAATATAAACATTGTAAAGTCCGTGATGATATAGATTTGGAAAGAATTGACAAGAGTGTAAAGGAAGGTGGATTTTTACCTTTCCTACCTTTAATATTTACTGGTCTGGCCGCAGCAGGTGAGCCATCTATTGCTGATATTTCCATCTCAAATTTTTCTAGAATTTCATTGAATTCTTCTAATTCTTTAATGGTTATGTTCTTATCTTCTCTTGATCTTTCGAAAAATATAAATAATTTATTAAGATGGGCATTTAAGATTTCTGTTTTCTTTTTATAATAAGATTTCTGTTTTGATGTATAACTTATAGCAATCAACCCACAAGATGAAGTTTGAATAGCAGTAATTGTTGCTAATACAGTTGGGACAAGTACTGGAACCATTAATCCACCAGTTACAGCCGTTGCAACTGTTGTTCCTACTGTTAGAAGTACACTCAGTGTTTTGAAAACAGAATCAACTCTAATCCATCTTTTCTTACATTTATTATATTGTTCTAGTTTTACTTTTAACTAGTTTTGTTTGTCTATCATATATTGTTGTTTACTTTCGAGTTCCATTTTTCAGACATTAAATTAAGTGAATTTCTGATAAAGAAAAAGATGGATATTGTTCAATATTTACAATAGGGAACCCTTTAATCTCTATACCTCCTCCTATTATTTTCGTTTATCTGTTATCATTACTTCGGGTGTATAAATAGTAACCTTTACAGATGCTAATGATATTTCTTCTTTCGAATCATTAATCTTATTTAGATGAACTGTAAATTTTTTTTTCAATATTAATCTCTATACTACATCTATATCGTTGTCATTGTCTGGTATTATTGACAATCTAAAGGTGTCTATATATTTTCCATTTGTTTTAATTTCATACATATGATTAGGCTTGTTGTTTTCATCATTAACTTCCACATCTTTATTTTCAACATATTCACCATCTTTGATAAATTCGAAAATCTTACGAGCGTTAAAATAGTTAGATGGATGAGAGAAGAAGATTGAATCGATTTTAACTTTTACAGGAAAAAGAATTTCAATTAGAGATTTACCTCGGAAATTAAAGTTTCCTGTATCATCAAATATGTTTTTAACGTTTCCACTTATATATGAAAAAACTTTTATTTTTAATATAAATCCATATCCTTCCAACTGATATGTTGTTTCACCTGTAGGAATACGCTCAGTATTTATCACACC